CTCAGGCAGGGATCGCAGTGAAGCAGCATTATTTGCGATTGCCATGGTGGGCGCCCCAGCCCACAGGAGAGAGTGAGAGCTCGCTTCATAGCAGTAGAGTACATCTTAAATATCTAGGTTTCCGATGCATTCAGTCCCCTCCCCTGTTTCCTCATTGGCCGAGTACTCCAGGTGCACAACCTACCTGACACGTGTTTCTATACTTTGTACAACTTAATTTTTTTTAAGAAAAATGTGTGACTGTTCCTGTTGTTCCTGTTTTAACACTTCAGTATGTCTTTGTTGTATCTTATTCTGCAATTCTTTATCTTGTTCCCAACCTGTTATTTTTTAAAGTTTTCATTCTGCTGAGGGGTGATCTTTATTTTATTTATTTTTTTTTTAATTTGACTTTGCCAACTAGCCCTTTCTCAGGATGGTTAAGAAAAACAGTTCATACAAACATAGGATAAAACTGAGGACTTTCTAGGACTGGAATTTTCCTTCTGCAAAAACACCAGAAAGTTAGCTCTTACAGGACCTTGCACTTGGCCTTGTTGAACTCCATGAGGCTGGCAGTGGTTGGCAGTGGCCCACCTCTCCAGCCTGTCCAGGTCCCTCTGGATGGCATCCCTTCCCTCCAGCGTGTCAGGATCCCTCCAGCATCCTACAGAGGACTGTTGGGTGTAACTTAGGGGAGTAAAATGAGAATTGAACCAACGTCTCATGGTATAACTGAGGTCCTGCTTGTGACAGGCTTGTCTCTGCTGCAGGATGGATCACAGCGCTGTGGTGCTAAGCAGACACAACCCAGGCTGAGTGCACAGCAGAGGGACCAGCTTGGCTCTGGCAGTCTGTGTCGGGTTAGGGATGCACCTGAGCTGATGTGCTCAGCCCCTTGGTACCTCATGGTTCAAACCCAGTGTGAGGGGCACGGCTGGTGTGCGACTCAGGACCCTGCCTGCCTTGCCCGCTGCAGCTCAGGCTGTACCTGTGTGGCTAAGCTCAGAATCTGTCTGCTGGATCCCCTAAGGAGATGTGACTGTGTGTAATTCCAGCAAGGAAATGTTTTTTCCTGTCAGTGAAAGATTTTGGTGTGCTTAAGTTTAAACTTTGCAAGGTGGTGGTTTCAGTGCCATGCTGGTTTTTCCCTGCAAATGAGGAAACTCCATCTTCTACAACATGCGTAGGTCAAGTGATAACTGAGCACAGGTCATTAAATGACTGTCCAGAGGGAAAGCAGGTCTGGTTTGTGTGTGGAGATGAGACAAAGGCTGCCTCTCTGTGGTTAGATGATACAGTTGTGAGGAGCGTTCCCAAGCACTGGGACACCTTCATTGCAAGTTCCAGGCGTAGCTTCAGTCTGGGCTGCCACCATCCTTCTTTTGAGTGAGTGTGTTTGAGCATCCTTAGCCATGCACGAAGACACTCTGCCAGTAGGTTGAAAGTATAAACAAGTAATTTACTGAAAAACATGCAAAAAAGGCAGCAGGGACTTTAGTAGCTACTCGGCTGAGCATGAATACTCACCACCTCAGAGAAGGCATCTGAAGAGACTTTCCTGGCCAGCCAGGCACTGGTGAGAGAAAGATCAGCATCTGCACCTCCCTCAGTTGGGTGGTTGCTGCCATCTACCACCAGTAATGTCAACACCAGCACACAAATGACTGCTGCTAGGATCACCGTTACTCCTTTTGGATGTTACGCCATTTCATGAAGTTGCTTTCCCTGTTGAAACCTTGAGCTACAGCGATCCCCATCTCAACAATCCTCTTCCTCTCTGCAGTTTTACACTTCTTGCCTTCCAGTAGGTTTTCTCGCAGCTCTTTGGCCGGGCTTCCGGTGTCTGTGGAGGCCTGAGCTGCGGCTGGGCCATGTCAGAGCGGGGCCCTGAAGAGGCGGTCGGGGAGGGCTGCAAGGCCAGCTCGCCCGCTGCCAAACCCCGGGCACAGTCGGAGGCTGGTGCAAGCCAAGGGTTGCCGGGAGGCAGTTTGGACAAGCGGCCCTGTTTGGGGTATCAAAGCGTTTAATAGTACGGCTGGGAGGCGTGCTGTGTTAGCTGGTCTCAGAACGGTCACGAGCACATTTCATTTCTGAGTGTAGGCCACGTTGCCTCCCTTCCTTTGCCCTCTGGCAGCAACCGAACACGTGGCTTCCCCTGGAATCGGGGTCTGCTGGCAGTGTGAGTTTACCTGGAGAAGACAGACCTTGTGCAGCAGTCAGGGCAGCCTGCTCGGGTCGCTGACGTGGGCACCCAGCAGCCCCTGGACCATCCCACCCGCTGTCAGCCTGGTCCTGTCTGCAGGCAGGTCCCGGAGTGGGTCTGGAGCCTGCAGAGCCTCCCTGAGATACATCTGTCACAGTTTGGGTTGGTTTGATAATGGGCTTTTGGGTGCTTACAGCTTTCCAGGGAGCAGTGAAATGCATCTTCTATGAGGAAATACCAATGTGCTTTGTATCACGTTTAGCTTTTCCTATTGATTCCAGCTGCAGAAAGTGCAGATCCGAAGGAGCCATGAACAAATGCACAAGCTGCAGTGCATCATGGCAAACGTCCTGGCGAAGATGCAAATTCAGCTCCTCCTCTAGCCTACTTTGCTTATTTCTGCTTGCTTCGAGTCCTTAGAGAACACCATGATCTGAACCCAGAGCCCTCTCTGGGCGGTGATGTGACTCAACGTCCCTACGCCAGGGGAAAGCAGACATTCCTTGTGATCCAAAGGAAATGTGAACGCTGACACGCAGCATCTTTGCTTTCTTTGAGGGACTGTTGTGGATTTTCCTGGTCTGGGCTGTTGCAAAGGAAAGATGTGGTTTGTCAGGGTGGCAGCTGAAAGACTTAGAGCTGTGGACGTGTCAGTTCTGGATCGAGCAGTGTGTGGTGAAGCCCTTCTGCCCAGCACTGAGGGTGGCTTGTAGTGCCAGTGACTGCTTGGTCCTCCTTGGTGAGCACTGGTGGAATCCCAGAGTGGTTTGGGTTGGAAGGGACCTTAAAGATCATCCAGTTCCAACCCCCTGCCATGGGCAGGGACACCTTCCCCTAGACCAGGTTGCTCAAAGCCTCATCCAGCCTGGCCTTGCACACTTCCAGGGATGGGGCATCCACAGCTTCTCTGGGCAACCTGTTCCAGTGCTTCACCACCCTCTCTGTGAAGAACTTCTTCCTGATATCTAATCTAAACCTCCCTGTTTTCAATTTGTACCTGTTACCCCTTGTCCTGTCACTACAGGCCCTTGTCAAAAGACCCCCCCACAGCGTTCCAACGTTGTAGAGTTGCAGGGTAGAACAAAAGGGAGCTTTTCTTCTATGTAACTGCTGTCAGCTCCCATTTTCCTTGCCAAGAGTGTGCCAACAGTGTAGTTTGAATCCAGATTTGGGGGAGGTAAAATCTCCAAGTGTTGCTGATGGACCCATTGCAGGGCAGCCGTGTACTTAGTAGCACAGGACTGAGAACAATTCAGTCCTTTGCCATTAGTTCACTTCCAGACAGGAACCAGTTTGATCACAGCCGATGGGCAGCTCAAGAGTCTTGCTGTTCCCCGTTTGACTGTGGAGCTGGTGGACCCAGGAGATGCCGTCCTTGGTCTGTACAGCAGGTAGACCTCTGACCATGTTTTACCCACCAGTAAGTCTCGACTGCGTATACACACTGTTTGATGTGTGTTTCTGCCATTTCTTTGGCTTTGGGTGGACCAAGAATAGCTTCCCTTTAGAGTTCTGGGTTTCTCCTGATCCTGGCAGCTCTGCTGATTCCTCGCAGTAACGTTTCCTTCCCAGGGAGGGCCCCGGGACCAGGGTGTGACCAGGATTCAGCAGAAGGTCTGTCCTCTCCTCGGATTCCTAACCGTGACCTGTTTGGACAGCGTGACTCACCGCTCTGACGGGGAACCGGCTGCAGCCTGTGTGGGTCACCCGGCATTACCACGACTCGTCTGACTTGTCTGAGTTGTGTCATTTATTTCCTGTGGGAGCCACACAGTGGGAATCCGCATGCCACCACCCTCCTTAAAATGAAGTGCTGTTTATCAGAACAGAAGCATGCATTGTTTTAAGAGCTGATGTTCCTCTAAACGAGACTCTGCGCTTAGCAGTCAGGTCGTGTTCAGCGTAGGAGATCTGTCTCCCCCACGGAGCCGTTTTGTGTCGGTGCTCAGCCCTGCTGCAGCGTGTTGCTGTTTAATTCTTTCCTTGCAGGCCCACAGCAGCAACCACACCGTTTTGACCCCTTAACTCCCAGCACCGGCCAAGCTAAGTCTGCAGGTTGTCAGGATCGTCCCCGTCGTGCTTCGGGTGTTCCCTGCAGGTTATCGCCTGGGAAGCTGTTGAGTTGCTTCCCTGTCAGGGCATGCTGAGCTCAGAGACGGGTGTGCGTGGATTCCCTGCTTCCCCAGGCCAGGCTGGTACAGCCAGAGGGCTTGGTCTGAGAGGAATGTGGGAGTTACACCTCACTGTCCAGGTCACAGACGGTCACGCAGCCAGAGACACACCGTGATTAGGTTTCTGGTGTTCTCAGGGGATCGCACAGTTGTGCCACAAACACTCGTCCCAAAACAGATTGACATTTTAGAGGTGTTTTACTGCCTGTTCTCCCTTCTGTCTTCCCTCCATCCTGTCTGGTAACTCTGCTTTCCAACCCCAGTTCCCACCCACCGCATTTGAGCTCAGTGCTGAGTGTTGGTCACCCATTTGGCCCTGCTCCTGGCTCTCTGGTAGGCACGGTGATGAGCCCAGGAGGCACGTGAAAGAGGCTCACAGGAGGGTCCCCCGTACTGCCACATCCGCAGCCTCCGCGGTTCCTTTGCCGTTGGTGAGCCTGCCTGCAGTCTCTGCTTTTCCCGTTCTTTAGCGACCTGAGCAAAATGCCTGCCTCTCTGGGAGTTACCGGGGTAGCGCGGTCCCAGGCTCCAGCCCTAAGTGTCCTTCACACACCAAAGTTGCCTTGAATTTCAGGTCTGGGGATTTGACGGTGCCAAGGTCTCGGAGCGACTCATTTGCTAACCTGCTGTTGTTTCCTCGTTAGGGAATTCCCAATGAAAGCTGGAGGTTGACCAAGATTAATGAGCGCTATGAGCTGTGTGATACGTACCCTGCCATTCTGGCCGTGCCTGTAAACATTCCTGATGAGGAATTAAAGAGAGTCGCATCTTTCAGATCAAGAGGACGCATACCAGTGAGTGTGACAAAAGAAGCTGCTTTGATGTGGTGTTGTTACATACCTTTGGGCCATAAATAATACCAGGATCAGGCTGAATGGATTCCAGGGAGCAAATAAATGGTCAGTGGGTAATAAAAGCGACAGCACCATGTTTGAGGAGTTAGAAAGCAACGTTATCTGCTGAAACTACTGTTGCGAGAGAGATGTAGACTAAACCAAAATGAGAAGATAAGATAACTTAGCACAACCCAGACCGACTCTCAGTTCAGTCCCTGGGAAACACGAAGCAGCCCTATTTGGTTGTTTACAATTGTCTGGCCTGCTCTGGCTTTCAGGATAGAGGAACACTTAGTGATACTCTTGATGAAAATGTTAATTACATGAAATGAAGACAAAACACGTCGTTATGATTATTATTTTAGCAGTAACAGAAAACATAGTGGTTTACTTCTCAGGCATATAAAAGACTAAATCTGTTCCCAAAGTGCTTAACTTTTACGTAGGGTAAGACATAGCCTCATGATTGCAGAGCAAGAAAACATGTTTGTGACTCACACGACAGAGAGAAAACAGTCTGTATTTAAAAGTCAGACTTAAAGCTCTCAGTCAGTTTGTTCAAACCTCGGGAATGCCACCAGAATGGAGAGGTAAGGACGGAGCAGTTATTTCTCACGATTTATTAGAATCCAGCCTTTTGGGACCAGCTAATAAATACGGGGCAGGATCCCAGAGCCAGCCTGTAGAGGTAAAACACGTCACTGGTTTAAGGGACGCGTTTATTCTTCCTTTCTTTCTCATTTGCTTCTGAAGGTATTGTCGTGGATTCACCCAGAAAGTCAAGCAACGATCACTCGCTGTAGCCAGCCGATGGTGGGAGTGGGTGGCAAACGAAGCAAGGAAGATGAGAAGTACCTTCAAGCCATCATGGACTCTAATGCTCAGTCCCATAAAATCTTCATATTTGATGCGAGGCCTAGCGTGAATGCTGTAGCCAATAAGGTCAGGTGCTGTTTCCTCTGTATAAAGCTGGGAATGTAATCATTTGGAGCACAGCTCCCACCACCTTTTCAAATTATTCCTGAGGATCACAAAGGGTTTTCCACCATGAAGCGAATAATATCAGAAGTGTGGCCAGCAGGTCGAGGGAGGGGATTCTGCCCCTCTACTCTGCTCTGGTGAGACCCCACCTGGAGAGCTGCGTCCAGCTGTGGAGCCCTCAATATCAGAAGGATATAGACTGGTTGGAGCGAGTCCAGAGGAGGCCACGAAGATGCTCAGAGGGCTGGAGTACCTCTGCTATGATGAAAGGCTGAGAGAGTTGGGCTTGTTCAGCCTGGAGAAGAGAAGGCTCCGGGGAGACCTTATAGCACCTTCCAGTACCTGAAGGGGCTACAGGGAAGCTGGGGGGGGGACTTTTTACAAGGGCCTGTAGTGACAGGACAAGGGGGAATGGGTTTAAATTGAAAGTGGGGAGGTTTAGATTAGATATCAGGCAGAAGTTCTTCATGGAGAGGGTGGTGAGGCACTGGACCAGGTTGCCCAGAGAAGCTGTGGATGCCCCCTCCCTGGAAGTGTTCAAGGTCAGACTGGATGAGGCTTTGAGCAACCTGGTCTAGTGGAAGGTGTCCCTGCCCATGGCAGGGGGGTTGGAACTAGATGATCTTTAAGGTCCCTTCCAACCCAAACCATTCTGTGATTCTATGATTGCTTCTCTAGACAGACTTACACCTGCCCCGGTGTAAGGTGTCGGCGTGACTAACGGTTCATTTGGATTAGTCTACAATGGGAAATGAGATGGAAGGGGCGGGTGGGAAACCGAAGTGCGCACTGAGGTCAAACTCCAGCACCCTGGATCTCGTGTATCACAGTTTCTCACTTGAAGGACTGCTTCCTCTGTCGGCACCGGGACCTGTCAACCCTCATGGGTGCAGAGGTTACTTGGCACTTCCGGAAATGGGGCATCATGCTCTTGAACTTCAGAATGCAAGCTGGAGATCTTTAATGTTTGGGAATGTTGCTGTGCCCTTCCTGCTGCTGAGTCTCATTCCATCACTCTTAAGACCTGTTTTAATGGTAAAACCGCCTTGTTGCACTAAAGCTGATTTTTTTTTTCCTTTGTTTTTGAAATCTGTCTTTCCCACTCCTTAGGAAAGGCAATTAGTGCGTGGGATATACTCCTCTATAATAGTATGGTAACTTTGTAAATGGCAGAACAGTGAATCTAATGAGCTAGCAGCTTGAATGGGGATAAATGATAATTACAGAGAAAAAGGCGGCTTGTAATGTGATATTCTTTGGTACAAATTACAGCATTCATTACTGCTGAAGGAAAGAGACCCAAAATGTGTGCGTCTGTGTGTTTGTTCCCAGTTGTTGCAAGATCAATCCGGTGATTTCTGCCTGTTGTAGATGGCACAATCACTGTGGTATTGTGGCAGCTGATACTTGCTCAGGACAAACAGTTGGGTTAAAATATAAAATATGGTTTTGTTTAACGATTTTTATGTGGATTTTGTGCTTCAGGCTAAAGGAGGGGGCTATGAGAGTGAGGATGCCTATCAGAATGCAGAACTGGTGTTCCTGGACATTCACAATATTCATGTTATGCGAGAATCGCTGAGGAAACTGAAAGAAATCGTGTATCCCAATATCGAAGAGACTCACTGGCTGTCTAATTTAGAGTCAACTCACTGGCTGGAGCATATCAAGGTATGCACGTCTGCGTCCACCGGATCGGCTGGGGAGTCTGTTCACTGGGAAGCGTATCCAGAGCTAACTCCAGCGCTGGATCTTCAGATCATGAGACGTGTAACGACCTGTAATTTAGTTTTGATTTAAATACAACTAAAAGCCCAGTTTCTTGGGATGGGCAATTTTGAGGAGATGGGAAAAGGGACAAGAGAGGAGGTTGAAATACTGAAAGATGTTGTTTTGGAAGTGAAGCGTGTTCCTCGGTAAAGTGTTAGTGCAGACCCCTGGCTGGAGTCCCGGAGTCCCAGGGTTCCTCAGCTCTTGACTCGGGCATCCTCGGCATCTGGTGTTACTGCCTGGTCCGACCCAGGAAATGTGGGGAGTTCACGTCCCATCAGCCTTTGGGAATCCACGCAGAATCTGAATGAATGGGGCAAAATGCTTCGGCTTCTACAAACGCTAGGTTTCAGAATCAGCTCCTTCTTTACTAAAACCGTGCAGCCTACGTTGCCTGCCCGCTCACGCAGGAAGGGGCAGCTGTTTCGTGTTGGTGTTCAGGCACAGAATGTTCCTGTGCTTAAATCCTGCTCTGTCCAAGGACCGAGCTTAGTGCAGGGGCTCCTCTAGTGCTGTGCCTGTGCTACAGTTCAGATGTGTTGTCATCTTGCTGGAACAAAAAAATGTGTCCACCAATTGCTGTCCTAGTTCCAAAGTAGTTGGAACTGATTTACCATTCTCCTTGAGCCAGTGGGAGCCCTTGGTTTGTCCTGTGTTGTCACTGGCCATTTTTCATTTGTAGTTTCTGTTCCAAGAGATTTTGTAATTGTTGCCTTATTCTCCTTGTCCCAGCTCATTCTGGCTGGAGCCCTTCGGATTGCTGACAAAGTGGAGTCGGGGAAGACGTCCGTGGTCGTGCACTGCAGCGATGGCTGGGACCGGACAGCCCAGCTCACCTCTCTCTCTCTGCTCATGTTGGATGGCTACTACCGAACCATCCGGGGCTTTGAAGTGCTAGTGGAGAAGGAGTGGCTGAGCTTCGGCCACAGATTTCAGCTGGTGAGTCCCCAGCCCTTGGAAGGCACTGAGCTGGAAGTTGTTCTCTGCTTTGAAGGATTTCAGAGGGGTTTCTCCTTTCCTGCTACTGTTTCCTACCTACAATTCCAGTCATGTCAGTCTCCCTGGAGACAGTTTTGGTTGGATAGGAGGAGCAGGTGGTATTAACTCTCAGGTGCCTGACTGATGTGTCGTGCTCCCATGCTCAGGCTTAAACTAAGGGTGTGCCTTGGATTCAGGGTAGGCGTTCCTGCTGGGAGTTGGCAGAGACCACCAGCGTGGTTTTGGTCCTCCTTTCACGTTCAGACCGTTTGCTGAGACTGCTTGGACATCGTCATCAAACAAATGCCTTGGTATTGAAGAGGCTGGGGAATTTGGTTATGACCTTCAGGCGCATTTTATTTTTGGGGAGGCTTTTAATAGTTTAGGTGAAAGATCATCAGTTTGAGACTGGATCAGGAGTAGCTCGTGGTTGTGTCCCTGGATTTGGCAGAGAGGCAGCTTGTGGAGCAAGTTTTGCACTGATGGGAACTGACAGCCTTTCAGTCTCTCAATTAGATATCAGGAAGAAGTTCTTCACAGAGAGGGTGGTGAGGCACTGGAACAGGTTGCCCAGAGAAGCTGTGGATGCCCCATCCCTGGAAGTGTTCAAGGCCAGGCTGGATGAGGCTTTGAGCAACCTGGTCTAGTGGAAGGTGTCCCTGCCCATGGCAGGGGGGTTGGAACTAGATGGTCTTCATGGTCCCTTCCAACCCAAACCATTCCATGATTCTGGGTTCCTATTGCTTGTAGCTGTTCTCTTGTCACTGAATTTTGGCTGGAACAAGGTCTGTTTGCAGCACATGCAGTGGTGGGTTGCATAGTCATGTGCTCCGAGGAAGGTGAGGAAACTGAGGCACGAAGCAACTGAGGTTCTGCTGCAGCAAAACTGTTATCTGGTGTTTGAACTCTGAGGATTTTACCTTCCCTGTCTATACAAAGGAGATAATGACACTGATTTCCTTTGGTGAGGGGGAACAGCACTGCAGAAGAGTTAGGGATCTCTGTTGCTTACATGTTCGTGTTCTTTGTGTGGTGCTTCTGGGTAATATATAGCCAGTAACTGCTGTACCTATGACTGTTATAACTCTACTAGTTGTAAGGAATCAGGCCTCACGTGTCTTGTCCGAGGCCACACAGCACGGTCAGGGTTGGAGGCCTACTTCTGGGGATACTTCCATCACCGCCTCTCCGGAGGTGGCCGGAGACGGGCTGGGTTGGTGTTTGTACAGCGCTTGGAAGCCGCGAGGTGTTGTGTGACGGGTATTGCCACGCGCCGTGCCTGTAGGTGGTGTTCGGAGCTAGCAGGCCGTACTGCTGAAGTAGCCAGGACGACAGCTGCAGCTGAAGCAAAAAGCATTCTCATTTCTTTTCCCTCTGAACTTGAGCTATTAACTGAAACCAGTGCCAGCACAGCATCTGGAGCCTCTGCTCAAACAACTCTTGTTTAATTTAGCATGGAAATATCCCCATAAAGAAATTTCACTTCAAAGACAAAGGGAGTAGCTGTCCTTCACTCCTGTGCCCACTGACACGGACAAAGGAAACACAGGAGTCGCTTGAACCTTCCTTAAGCTCTTGGTAGAGGCTGGAGTGACTGAGAGGAGACCCCAGAAGCCCCGTGCGACTCATTCTTTGTCCTGCTCTGTTTCAGAGGGTTGGCCATGGGGATAAGAACCACGCAGACGCGGATCGCTCTCCTGTCTTCCTCCAGTTCATCGACTGTGTCTGGCAAATGACAAGACAGGTAAATCGCTGGGTGGCACACGCGTCCGCAAAGCCACCGTCCCGGGACGGGGTGCAGTGTCTGGCCAGCAGAGTAATTTCCTGACCTGCACAGGCTTCCTTCCTTCCGGGGCTTCTGCTCTTTTTCTTGACTGTAGCAACAAGTTTTTGGGAGTCTGTTTAGCAAAGAGCCTGAACGCACAAGCGCACAGAAGGCCACGATGTCGGCTTGTGTCAGGTTAGTGGGTGCTGCTGACATACGTGCTATAATAAACGTGAGCCCGTGAGAAGCATTTTGTCCCCTGCAGCAGGGGCCAGCCACCTCACATTTATCACGGGCAGGAGCAGACACCCCAGCCATCCTCGCGAGCACCCTGTGCCTTCAGAAGCACAGCTGACTTGAGCTGCTGATGTAAATCTCCAGCGTGATGGGTGCGTACAGATCCCTCCTGCCTCTGCTCAAGCTGACCCCGTAAGCACACACGCAGGGAAGACAGGGGTTTTCTCCCTTTTAACAGCTTCTTACGGCAAACATACTGCTCCTGGCTCATGCTTGATGCACAGAGCCGGGAGCTGAGGTCCTCCCTTCAGACCAGGTGTGGCAGAGGCACAGAGGGATTCCCTGTGGCTGGGAGGGTTTTCCCCAGGTATGTGGGACTTGGAATATTTTTCGTGTTTGTTGTGATCTTTCTGCTGCGTTTTAAGCAAACGTCAGCTGTGGTCACGCAGTTCTTTGAAAAAATTAGGCTGGTCATGGACTGAAACAGGTGAAATGGGAAAGGATGCCACTATAGAATCACAGGATGGTTTAGATTAGAAGGGACCTTAAAGCATCCAGTTCCAACCCCCCTGCCATGGGCAGGGACACCTTCCACTAGACCAGGTTGCTCCACGCCTCATCCAGCCTGGCCTTGAACACTTCCAGGGATGGGGCATCCACAGCTTCTCTGGGCAACCTGTTCCAGTGCTTCACCACCCTCTCCGGGAAGAATTTCTTCCTGATATCTAATCTAAACCTCCCCACTTTCAATTTAAACCCATTACCCCCTGTCCTGTCACTACAGGCCCTTGTAAAAAGTCCCCCCCAGCTTTCCTGTAGGGAGTATAGGAAGCTGTACCATATCCAAGCAGAGAAAGAGCGAGGCTTTGCCATCACCAAAAGTCGCTTTCATCATGCTGCCCTTGGATTGTTCCCAGAAGTAGGCACCCTGACCTGTAGCCAGTGACCAGGACATTGCAGCCTGGGAAGAGCAGAGTGGTTGGTGAGGGAGGCCTCCCGCTCCCTCCTCCATCCCCCCAGCATGTCTCCGCCGTTCACCGTGTGTATCCTGACTGACCCTCTGCAGAGCTTCAGTTCTCCCTGTCCTGGGTCGGGTTGTTTCGGCGCGGAACACCACAGCAAGCACGGCGGCTGCCTGTCCTCCTGTTCCTCCCGCTGACCTGTGCTGCCTGATGTCCCTGCTCTTCCCGCAGAAAGCACGGTGTTGCGCACACCCGTTACTTCCATTTGGCCCTGGGAAGTTTCCATTTCTTGTTACGCAGCTTCACGTGCGCTTCAGCCCTTTGCTTGCAGCCTCGTTGCGTGGCCTGTCGTTAGGGACAGGCAGAGCCCAGCAAGCTTCCCCTCGAAGCAGCGCCGAGCGCGTACAAACGCGGCAGTCAGGCCCTTCGGACCTCTGGCTTTTGCTCAAAATTCCTCTCTGCACATGTCAAGAAGCTTTCCGAGAGAGAAATTCTTGCTCCTGGAAGGAGAAAATATGATCCTGCGTATCTAGCCAGGCAGGGAACAGGGTGAATTCCTGTTTTCGAGAGAAGCCAAGTCCTTACCAAGCCCTCAAAACGGGAGAAAGCTTATTTGCGATTCCTGTTCTAAAATCCCAGCCTAACTTTCTGGTTCTGTCTGAAGTTTCCTACAGCCTTTGAGTTCAACGAGTACTTCCTGATCACCATCCTGGATCACCTCTACAGCTGCTTGTTTGGGACGTTCCTGTGCAGCAGCGAGCAGCAGAGAGGGAAGGAGGTGAGGGGGCGTCCCCCAGGGCGAGGGCAGGGTGCTGTGGGGCCTTCAGGGGCTGCTGGAGAAGGTGCTTCAGCACTCCAGGACTGTGGCAGGTGCAGGTCAGTCACACCGAGCCCTCCTCCCGACGGCTGGGACACGGAGCCAAGTGCCATCTGTTGGAGGCTTTACAGCGCGGAGCAACACCCTGTCCCTCTGGATGCTCCCACTGCTTTCCGCATGGCCTCCAGCTGCTGGCTGGCGGCTGAATAGTTCCTGGTGCACCCCGAGCAGTTGGAAGTGCAGTTTTTCTTCCGACTCCTGTTTAATGTCACTTTCTCCGTGGCAACTGGTACCTTTTTCCCCTCCTTGTGCCCTGCAGCGGTGCCGTTAGGTTGATGTTACCTAGGCGGTCCGTCATTCTGCACGCACAGGTTACTCTGTTCCTGCTGTGCTGGCGTTTTTCTGGGAGAGGATGGGTCTGTGGCTGCTGGGAAGGACATGTCCCTAGGTCCTGTGGCCGGGCCGAGGTTGGCTTGAGCAGGACGCCGCTCCAGCCAGCCCCCCAGAGCGCTTCAGAGGTGAAGGCGAAGCAGAGGACGGAGGGTTCGCTCCGGTGTCCCCTGGCTGCGCCAGCGGCCACTCCTGGTGGCAGCTGGGTGGGGAAGAGGGGACGTTCCCGTGCCAGGGGGTGTGTGGGCCTGCCTGCACCCATCTGCTTCCGTGACAGTAACCGCAGCAGAACAGAGGGGCTTTGGGGTGGTTTAAGCTACGGAAGGCACCAGCTCTGCGTAGGGCCAGGCCTGTGTGTACGCTCTTAGACACGCGTGGTAGATAAATGCTGGGATCCGTGTGGGAAATAAAGCCTCCTCCTCCCCCTTCCCGTGCAGAGCCTGCCAAAAAAGACTGTGTCGCTTTGGTCTTACGTCAACAGCCAACTGGAGGACTTCACTAACCCTTTGTACGTGAGCTACAACAACCACGTCCTGTATCCCGTGGCCAGCATGCGCCACCTCGAGCTGTGGGTCGGCTACTACATCCGCTGGAACCCCAGGATGAAACCACAGGTACATCTCCCGCTCCCTCCCAAGGATCCTGCTTTTATTTCCCTCCCTGCTAGCACCAGTGCTGTCATTTTGGAGCTCGAGACCTTTGAAGCACCAAGGTAATCACAGAATCACAGAATGGTTTGGGTTGGAAGGGACCTTAAAGACCACCTAGTTCCAACCCCTCTGCCATGGGCAGGGACACCTTCCACTAGACCAGGTTGCTCAAAGCCTCATCCAGCCTGGCCTTGAACACTTCCAGGGATGGGGCATCCACAGCTTCTCTGGGCAACCTGTTCCAGTGCCTCACCACCCTCTCC